GGGGGTGTCCCGGGAGAGTTTAAAGTGTCTGGTCTCCCAATAGAACGGTAACTCCTTCCCAGCTTGTGGGTGGGTTCTGTTCTGGGTAGGCAAAGAGGTGCTGTTTGACTGCCAAAATTGGGCTCCTCCGATGGACAGATCTACCAAATATATAAAGTGAAGCCAAAGCCATCTTCTGTTAGAGATTTCCCTTTACCTCATGTTCCAAAGCCATAACAGGAAGTGAGAGGAAATCCCACCAATTTGATGGAAATTTCTGTTGAGATCAGGGTCTCACGAACTAGTGTCCCATTGAAAGGGTTTCTCCTCTATTCCTGTTGTGGTGACGGCCCCAAATGTAAGAGTTTCTTTCACTCTCCGTGATACCGGGTATACAAACAGGTATTCTAATCCTCCTCCATTCTGGGTGGAGAGGCAGATGGCGTGAGTGCAAAACGTAAATAATTTTTCGGTTTGGTTCTACTTTAACCACTTCAGGAACATAGGAGATCCATGTACGTCTTGGTCTTGAAGTGGTTATAGCAAAATCATGGTTTCTTAATTTGGGAAGGCGAGTTGGAACAGATCAGGGAGCGTCTGTTTCCTAATCTGCTCTATGATTACTGAGGCAGGAAGAGCTGTACTCAGTGCTTCCTGCTTCAGAGTTGTCACAAGCTCAGCTGAAATGCCAGTGAAGCAGGTGATCAAGCACAGTTCTGTGCTTGATTGTCTGCAGTGGAGGACAAGGGAGACATCAAGAGTCTAACAGACCCCTGATATCTCCATAAAGAGAACTTGTCACCTGCCAATGCAATCGCAAAAGGAGCTTGTGAGAGCAATAAAGTTAAAGCCCAACTGAATTCAAAAATCATATTTCCCACTCCTCCCTCAAACCAACCTCTAACCCATCCTAGTAACCATCTACTTAAGTTCCCCTTTTGGGGCTCCTCACCAGCGCCATGGTGCCTGAGACCATTGATCATCTCCTGGATCCTCAGAGGACTGTGGCCAATTGATATCCAGTACGAAATGTCCATGTCACGCAGGCACTGATGTGGACACTCGAAGGACCCAAGCTTACAAAAAAAAAATGGCTTTTAGATGCAGATTTTTTTTTCTTAATCTAGCGTTTAGATAGCGGGGGTGTGACATTTATCATACAGTTGGGCTTTAAGCGGAAAATGTACAGTGTTCAAGGAAAGAATAATAAAATAAAAACAAAAAAAAATGTACAATTATTAAATTATGAATAAAAATATGTATTCATGTAACTCCAATATTCATTTAATACATAGCCAAACATTCCATCCACACTGCATCTAGAGCTGCAGCTAACGATTATTTTCAAAATCGATTAGTTAGGCGATTATTACGTTCGATTAATCGATCCTGTACCCCGTGGTGAGGACTTGCCTATTCCAGATCCACCAGAAGACGATGAGCAGGATGCAGCTGATCCGGGCCCATCGATGTCAGCGGACCCAAACTTAAGCCCACAATATGCTCCATCTGAACCACATCTAATCTCACAGATTTGACCTAAATGACCTGGTTAGAGATTTGGAATTTCCTAAGAGTAAAGGTGCCCATACACCTTGCGATTATTGTACGATAATCGCGGGAAATCCCGTGATCGTACGATAATCGCAAGATGTATGGAAGGCGTGCGACCGTACAGTAGAAACTTCTGTCGAACAAGCAGGCTGGAAAACTCGCCGGGAATCGTACGTTTCTCGGCGAGTTAGTGGCCTGCTTGTTCGACAACTGCCGAACGGGCCGGTGTGCGGGCTTACGATGTTTGCAAGTACAATTTGCCTGTCCAAGATGGGCAGATCGTACGTTTGTTTTAAGTACTTTACAACCCTCGCAAGACAAAAGTCTTGCGAGGGTTGTAAAGTGTATGGTAACCTTTAAGGCAGAGCTACTGGTCTCCAGATTACAACAGTGGAACCTCTTGCACTGTGATGTCAGAATCTTAATTTTCTGTGGTCGCCAAAAAGATCTGGTTCAGTATTGGTATCAATGAAAAGAGAAATTTATAGTGATGTGGCACCATTTTCATTGCTATATTTCATTTTGCAGGAAAGTTATGGAGCATAATCACACATCTCCCTCATTGGAAACAATTAATACTCTGGCCTTAATTTTACTTTAGTAGTGACCCAATTCTGGTACAATTTAGCTACTTTCATTTTCAAGGCTTTCTCCTGAGTCACTTTAACAATCTCTGGCTTTTACTGTTCTGCTAAGTGCTACTGTTTTTAGACCACTGCGAAGTCTTAAAGGAGAACTATGGGGTTAAGTCTTTTCCCCATAGTTCTCCTTAGGGTAACGGGAGGACACAAACTAGTGTCCTCCCGTCACCCTAGATTCAGTATACCGCAAGCTGTAGCTTGCGGTATACTGAGACGCCGCAGCAGCTCGCGGTATACTAAGGCTGGGTTCACATCTAGGCGCAGCGAATATGCGTGTTTCGACCGTGATGCGCACGTAAAAAACGTGCGACAAACGCGCCTTTCCGTGGGCTAACTGGCTCTATCCCAATGGATACGCGTGGCAAATACGCCCCAAAGAAGCTCCTGTACTTCTTTGGGCGTAGGGCGTTTTGCAGCGCGTTCCTACGCGCTGTAAAACGCCCAGGTGGGAACCATGCCCATAGGCATTCATTGGTTTTCACATGTTGAGCGTTTTACAGAGCTTAGGAACGCGCTGTAAAACGCTGAGGTGTGAACCGGGCCTAAGACGCCGCAGCTGAAGCGGATCCCGACAATCATGTCTGGATCCGCCCAGCTGTATGACTGACAGCTGGCTCTGCCTATCTAGAGGCAGAGCCAGCTGTACCCGCCCCCTCCCCCGTCCGTTCCGCCAGTCAGCGCTGGCGGATCGGAACGGGGAGGGGGGAATCCAGCCCCTCCCCTGTCACGGCAGAGAGCTCACCTCCCGATCTACTGAGCCGACCTGTGACAGTTTCATTGTAACAGGTCGGCTAGAACTATGAGATGAGTGAAAAGCACTCACCTCATAGTTCTCCTTTAATGGCACGGCGGGTAGCTTTTCTACATTTGCCCCTGCTTCGGGCAAGCAGCAGGGCTATATGTAGAGGGGGGGAGCCGTTTTTTTGTACAAATGATCTCGAGCGGCTGTACAGCAGTCTGATTTGTCACTCTCCCCTCCCTGAACACCGGCTTTCTCCCTGCCTGCTGCATCTCTCCCCGGCCGCCGTCTGTCACCGCCCGCCGTCTCACTCCCCGCCCGCTGCCTCCCTCCCTGCCGTGGTTTTCGGCGTCCCCTGCTTTTCTGGGGGACACGGGGCCATGGCATATTAGTTCAGGGTGGGGAGCAGAGAACGTCCGTTCTCGGCTCTGCTCCATGTTAACACTGACACAGGAGAGCAGTACTTGCAGCCTCCCATCTTGGCTGTCACAGGAGCTCATGCTAGAACTCCTGTATTAAAGGTGACAGGTTCCATAAAGAGAACCTGTCACCTATGAATACTTTCACATGGGCTTGATGGCTCCTGTGTGATGGCAATAAAGTTAGGATGGGGAAAAAAAATAGTGTAAAAAATTAAAAGTGAGAAATAACATGAAATTAAAAAATAACAAATGTTAACCACTTGAAGTCCGCAGTGTTAAACCCCCTTCCTGTCCAGGCCATTTTTCAGTATTCAACGCTGCAGTACTTTGACTGACATTCCGTCATGCAACGCTGTACTGAAATTCATTTTCTACCATTTTATAGGGACACATAGAGCTTCTTTTGGTGGTAATTAATCACTACTGGGGTTTTTATTTTTTAATATATTAAGGAAAAATTACCGAAAATTTAAAAAAAAACAAAAAAAACTTTCCCCTATATTAAATGATAAAACCTTTTATTATTGCCTAATTTTTGGCTAAAATGTAAGATGGGGTCACGTCGGGTAAATAGACACCAAACATGTCGGGCTTTAAAATTGCGCGCGCGAAACCTCCAAAAAAACTGTAATAACCAAAACTGGCCATAGGCAACGCTTTTACCACTTATCAGTTTAGTGTTATCAGTGATTGATGGCCCTAAAATTATTGCTCTCACTCCGACGTTCGCGGCGATATGTAACATGTGTAGCGTAATTTTTGCTTTTAATTTTTTTTAACATTTATAGTTATTGCTATCACATAGGGGGATTGCTATCACATAGGGGGATAACAATCAAGCCAGACAGCGCATACATGGCTATAGAGCCCCCGATCGTATCAAACAGCCGGTAACTGCTGTAAAGAAAGGGCAGGTTTCTTCTGCCCGTGCGCAAAAAAAAAGCCGTCTGACGGCAACCCGCCCGTGTGAGTCTGCCGTCCGTCTGTTTTTTCACAACGGGCGGACGGCACGAGGTTAAATAAAGTAAATGAGAGTAAAAAATTGATCAAGTAAAAATAAAGTTAAAGGTAGGATAAAAAAAAATTCAAATGAAAACCAACTCTACTGCCCCGCCACTTGCACGGCCACTTGCACTTACGTGAATAAACGCACGTGTAGGGCATTTTTTTTTCTTTTTTTCACTTTTAAATTTCCCGCTGGTTCTGCCCCCCTGCGACGCCAGTGCTCGCAGGGAAGGAACACGGAAGACAGGATGCCGGCATCGGCCGGAGGACACAGCAGGGCTCGTGTGGACAAGGTAAGACGCTACAGTGTAATCCCAAGTGTGGATCGGGGTTACCGCTTTTGGTACTGAAAATTAACCCCGAGCTGGTTTAAAAATAGGCTGACCCACGCTAGGTTACTTTTTGATTTGGCAACTCTGGATTTTCTATTCTTGGGCCCCCGAGATTCAGTACTTCATTGCTTGGTCATTATCACAATTGCCTCTCCCTTTACCCGCAGGACTTTAAACTCCAACAGAAAGGCTGAAAGGCTGTGTACACAAGCAGCACCACCTAAAATTTTCATTGTCATGTCTTTCACCTTGAAAACTAGATCGTCATAAATGGTATTTGGATCTGGATATTTTGACAATCATAGTTATGTTTTGAATCTCTTGGCGATATGAGTCTTCTGTAGTATTTTTGATAGCAGATAGTGTGCTACATGCTTTATTTCTCTGATAAACTTTTTGTGAAAATTCACATTGCAAAGTGAACATGCTCTACTCCTTCAGTAAATCAATCCCACTTTGTCTTTTAATTTATACTTAATTGTTCTTTCTATATTTAGAGATAAGAGCTCAGCTGTTGGAGCAGCTGAAATGTCTCGACCAGCAATGCGACCTGCGGACCCAACTTCTCCAAGATTTGCAAGACTTTTTCCGCAAAAAAGCAGAGATTGAGATGGATTATTCCCGAAATCTGGAGAAACTAACAGAGCGGTTCTTGTCCAAAACACGTGGAGCTAAAGACCAGCAATTGAAGTGAGATACAAATTTAAATAAAACTAATTTTTGTACTTGTGTTATTGTGGAGCCAGACATACAGCATTTCTTAAAAGTTTTCCATTTAAAAACAGAGAATTGAGCCATGCAGTGCAGCATATAGGGGTTGAGGATTTCTAAAGCTATACAATGAAGACACTAAAGTAAAATGGTTTTACATTGTGCAGGTATACAGTATAAACACAATTTCTTCATTGTACACAATTAGACACAGGGCGTTACATTCAACTACAGGGTTATGCAGCTAACTTTGGATGATTGGATACTGGCACATCAATTAAAGCTGCAAGCCAGCCCTGCATAAAACCTCCCATTTCCAGCTTTCCCCAGTTTTTTTTCTTAGTGTCTTTAGGTGATGGGATGTCTTCACGAAGGTCTGAGAGATGTCCTTTTAACACACTATTTTTCTGAGTTTTTCCTGCAAAATTATTCTAGAAAGTTTCCCCAATTCTGCTCTTAGCCACTGCGGCATCTCCAGTAGCTATCCGTATCTATTTCCTCCTTGGCACAGCCTTGGCAGACTTTACCTGGACCCCACAGAAAGGAAGAGCCAGGGTTGGCCTATAATGTAGTCAGTCACTGGACCTTGCGTTCGGTGTCCTCCTTGGCACTTTGTGCCGCCTGTGTGGTTAGATGCAGGGTGCTTTCTAGGGCCATAGTCCATCGGTCGAGCCCTAACCTTGCAGACCCACCTAGGGAATCCACCCAGAGGGTGAAGATTGGATGGCATATCTTTGCGGACTGCTATGTATAATGGTAAGGACCAAAAGCCACTGGTAATCCTCAGCCAGCCCCTACAGATGTCCAGTTGCCAGGCTTCTCTAAAGGGTTAAATCTGCAGCTATGGTGCATTTTTAGTGGTAGTGATTTCAGCTTTAAACATTTGAATTTGATGCATTTAGTTTTTTCTTATGTGGCCTAGGAGCTGGCAACCACCTGCAAAGCCTCCGCAGGTTACCATACTGCACATGCGCCAGCCATTTTTTTCCCTTCATGATCCCACCTGCTAACAGCTCGTGGGTGCCTTGGTACCTCTTGGCCATGACTGTGTCTGACATGACTGCTGTGTGTCTGCTAATAGGCCTTGAGCAGTTCTGTACCTATGCTGCCATTAGGAAGCGTCCCCTGCGGCCTCTAAGGTGTCTGATGTTAAGGAAGATTTGTGTGTGGCACTAGATTCTGAGCTGGCCCTGTTTGGTAGTAATGAGATGTTGGCATCAGCCATTCTCCAGGACAAAGAGCTGTTCTGGACACGTATATCCATGAGGAAAGCCCTGAAAGGGTAATTCCACCTTCCCAGGTTAATTTGGAAAATAGAGATGCCCCCTCCCGCTGCTCTTATTGAAAGAACGCTGGATTGACTGGCAAAATTGTGGGTTTGCAATGCATCAAACCGAGGCACTGGTCTCTAAACTAGGTGGTGTTGCTTCAAATTTAGTGAGAGATTAGGGAACACTAGTCATGGAACTGATGGGAGACCTGTCCCAATCGAGAGGTCTCCCAAGTTTGACAGAAAAGGACACTCAATGCAGCCATTGCTCTGGTCTCTTTGTGGATGCCATACTTCCTAATCTGTGCTTTGGAGAATTAAGTCCAAAGCAATTCCTAACGTTTTGATGGCTCTAGACTGGCCATGAAAACTTGGTACTTGGGACATAGTTTAACTTGCAGGCACCCCACAGCCCCTTCCCGCTTGGCCAGCCCTTATGTTTAAGTGAGTTGTTATTTTATATTTCTGATTCTCTGACTTTTATGGCATCCCTGGGACTGCCAGTATATGTTGCGGCTCATTACAGCATATTGATTGGTGCACCAGAAGACATGCATGTACTGTTTTTGTAGTACAAGCTGTTTTAAAGGCTAAAAGATGGACAATACTGAAATGTAGAGATCATAATCTTATATACCTCATTAATCAATTTGATATCTTTATGTGCTATCACGTAGTCTGCTGGTCTTCTTTTTTTTTTTTATATTGCATGTCTATTAGTGTGATGAATTAATTGGATATATTTTATCTACTATATTATACATATGAGTAATAAAATTCTCTGCTGCGGAATCTGATATGAGGGCTTTGTTTAGATGTGGATAATATTAGCAGGAGTTAAGAGAACTATGGGGTAATCTTTTTATCTCCTAGTTCTCTTTAGGGTCGCGGGAGGACATCCCCTCCTCCCATAACACAAAGCTCAGTATACTCAGTATATAGCGGGCCTTTGCCCACTATATGCTGAGAGTGCCACAGCTGGGATGGATACTGACAATGCTGTCGAGTTC